ATGAATTTAGGAAGGAAAAAGCTTTTATGAATTTAGGAAGGAAAAAGATAATTCCCCTACTGCAGTGTTTCTCAACCTCGGCAACTTGAAGACGTGTGAAGTCCACACGTCTTCAAGTTGCCGAGGTTGAGAAACACTACCCTACTGCTTTAAGGAAAGAAAAGAGATAATGGGCTAATTCTTCTCACCAGTGTTAGGAAGTTTAGCTGGTTATTTTCTCCTTCTCTCATTTAAAAGTTGTGGATGCTGTAAGGTTTCTCTGTTCCTCACTGGCTAAGGAATAATCATGCAGTGGCAGTAGAATAGAAAACTGCATAGCCTATCTCACCAGAGGTCTCATGCAAACATTTCTGAGGAAAAAAAATCACTGAAATCAAGAAATTTACCTGTACAGTTCCTCTCATCAGAATCAAGGGCAAACCCACTGTCACATTTACACCGGAAGCTGCCAATGGTGTTTTTGCATTTTCCATAGGTGCACAATTTTGGAATCATTTTGCATTCGTTGATATCTAAGGCCAAGATACAATCATTTTTCAAAACAAAATCCAGTATATATAACCGCCAATAAATCACAAACCACATCAACTACAATTTGAGAATTGATGAAATAGTTCCCCTTTACATTCAAAGGGCAGCAATTGAGCATGTTTATGTAATACTTTTATGCATCTGAAGAGGAATTACAATTAATTTTATATTATTTTCACATAGTGCAGTAGATTACTTCTAATCTTCCCTTGTAGAAATAGAATCAATGCTCTCTGCCTTTGGTTGTAAGAAGAGCTGTCCTGAGTAGCACATATCTTGCATTAATCAAGCAGCATGAGGGTTAGAAACATAAGTTGGAATCCCAAGCATATTTGGTAGGAAGTAAAATCATCACACACAACGGACTTTACTTCTGATTTAAGAGGACCAGGGCTGTTCTATCAGTACTTTTTTTTTTTTTTTTGCTTGCCTATTTGTTTTCCTTTTTGAACTTACCTCTACAATTTCTTCATGTTATGTCCCATCCTGCCTCTATTAATGATTCATAAATGCTTAGTTAAGTGAGATAATTCAATGGAAATAACATTTGCATTGGGCACAATCACCGATTCTTAGAAGATTTATTAGCAACCAATTTCCAATGTCTTAACTGGAATAACATTCCATTCTAATAAGAATGGTTTAGCTAAAACAAATAATCATGATGGGCGCCTTACACATTGGCAACTGTTATTTTGGGTTTCAGAGAAGGTATTACTCATAACCATCTCCACGCCCTTCTCTGATTCCTATCCAATTCCCATCATGACCAGCCTTGGCAGACACAGATGAAAACCTTTAAGTACAGTTGAGTTCTTCTTTGCTCTCCTTGGGGATGGCAAGTCTATGTCAATGCCTAGCATATCCTCCTAGGCCCAACATCCCAGGAAGAACATAGAACAAGAGAAAAACATACAGATTTTGCAAATATTCTTCTACTGTCAGATTAGTAATAGATAAGGAAGTGTTAAATGTACCATTCTGGAACAGAAATTTCTGGGGAATACCAGAAGATTCCATTCTTGAAATAGTACACTTTGCACATCCCTATTAGCGGCAGGATAGGGAACCTGAAACTGATCACAAGCATTTGGGACTAGGGAACCAAGTTCCAATTTTATTTCTATACTGATAGTGACTGTTACACCTAGGCATGATTCTTATATGAGAAACACATGATCTGGACCTTCAATAAACCTCGTTTCTTGCACCTGTTATGTCTTGGTTCCAATCAGGCTTTGTTTTTTTAACCCTAACTCTTGCACTGAAGAAAGGATAAGTGTCCCTGGATCCGAACTGGGAAGAAAGAGGAAAATTTCCCCGCCTTTGTGCTGTGGTTTCCAAGAAAATTACCTTCCTTTCCAGATTTATTCAAACCAAACCACACTTGGGTGCTTATCATGCAATTTGCCTCTAAGGATGGAAGGAGAAACTAAACAAATGCATTCATCAGAACACTTCTTTGCATCAGCAGCCATTTTACCACACCTTTATAGAAAGGCTTCCCATTTATAATCTCTCCTCTGGTAAAAAATCCTGGTCCTCTTGGGCAAAGGGCTTCATACTCAGGAGTAGACTTTGTAGGACATTCATCACAGTCAGGTCCCCAGGCAGCTCCAACAGAACAGCAGCAAGAATCCAGCCGGTGTCGCCCTCCAATTGGTGACGTGCAGTCTTCATCATCATGTTTCAAATAGCATGCCTCCAAGCGAATATCTGTGGGGGTTATTTAGCAATCCATAAATGAAAATGGGTACAGCAGAGGAACAAGGAAACACTATAATCTGGAAAATCAGTGTAAAGCTCAACATAGTATAAAAGGGGTGGGGAGGGGCGGAGAGAGGGAGAGAATGAATATGGAACACCCCCAAGCTGTACAAGGTATGCTCATATGTCTTCTTCCACTGCCTTACTCTTAGCAGAAATTGAAAATCAGACATTGCACATTTAAGCTATGTTTTGTTCAAACCTTGGTCAAATAAACTATAAATAATTGGCTTCATGCAACCTGCAAAACTATAAGCTATGAACTTCAAGACACAATGGTTAGATTCACACAACATGCAGATCCAAAATGAAACAGATCATGTTAGGGCTAAGGATGTTTGAACCCTATCATATCATGGACATGCTTAACCTCCTCCATGAAGGGGTCTCATTTGCAGTATTTTTTTCTAAGGAAATAAATGGCTGCCACTGTCCATTTGGAATAAAATGAGGTGCTAAGAATGGCCTCTATATTTAAGAGTCTTACCAGGTGCCTTTACTTGGCTATGCATATTACCGTTCCCTTATTTCCTTCCCAAATCCCTCTACCATTTATGTTCTTTTCAACTGCTTCTACACTTCTGGTATACAAGAACTAAAAAAACAACTGCAATCAAAGAAGAAATATTCTTCTTTCAAATCTTAAGCTCATTTAAATTAGAGCATCACAAATGCTTTGGTGAATAACAAGAGTTTCCTTTGCAGCCACAACTGTTGACAATTTTATTTGGGAATCTTTATCATTTTATTGTAGATAAAGATAATATTTTCTAAACATTTTGAAACCCTAACCTAGTTAATTACGTCATGTCTAGCTGGCCACCCCGACTATAAACGTTTCTAAAGATAAGAAGAACAAATGTATCAGGACCAGCATTGATGAGACTCCACAAACCCCAACCAGAAGCACCAAGTTCAGCCATCCCTCATGGTAAAGATCCTCCTCTCCCCAAAGACAACTGAAAGTAGACAACTGAGAAGAAGGCCTGTTTTTAGTGTTTTCTCACATGGTGGACAGCAGAAATTTCTGAAGAAGGGGTAACCTTTAGTTCATGGAAGGGACCAAGCACTACATGAAGCCATTAATTAATTTTGTACCCAGTGGTCTTAATCACGTCTTACAAGATTAGAGCCTTGAATGCTTACCAAGACATCTCCGTCCAGTTGCATCTAAAGTCATTCCGCTCGGACACTGGCATAAAAAGGATCCCATAGTATTCACACATTGTCCATTTGTGCACACTCCAGGAAACACTGTACACTCATTGATATCTGTGTACATATTTAAAATGAAATGTCATCAGCAAAGACACAGAGGGATCCAACGCTCCCATCAGACTAAGTACTGTTGCTTCAAGCCTGAGAAATCCATAGTGTTGCTTCTGAAGTGGTACATTTTGGTTTGAAATGGTTTATCAACTATATTCTTGGGCACAGTCTCTGAGCAAGTGCGGATTCGTGATTCTTAGGAAAATGTTTCCGTTTTTAAGAAGCTGGATTTAATGACATCAAACAGAGCTAACTTCAATTTCCTACAGTGGGAAAAAGGTATTGCCTCAATATATATATGGCAGCCCCCCAGGCAGATAGGAGAAGATAAAAAATAAATAAGACGTCAGCCAGAGATACGCTAGAGCGTTACTGCAGACGACTCATTCTTGGAGGAATAAGGGACAAATTTGCAACGGCAGGATCCAATTTTTGCTACGCAAAGACATCTGACATTTAAAAGGGCTACGTGCCAAGCCTTTAGCACAATTGCTAAGAAAGCATATTTAAGAAAACAGTGGGGAGGGGAAATTATTCACGATCAATCCGTATGAAACAACTCTGTTAGGTTTTCAAAATGCTGAAAATCCTGTGACCATTATCCAAGACTACTATCTTGGAAGAGTAACTTTCCATCTCCAAATACTGAAAAATGTTCTGAGTCTTCCCTTGCAATCTGGTTTAGGTGGAGCAACATTTTTCCTCTCTTGGGGTAGATAAGTTATGTACAGTCAATCTGTGGTAGAAACAGATCCAAACTATTTAGTCATTATCTTGGAAAGCAAAAGAGAGAGAGAGAGAGAGTGTGTGATTAGGGACAAGGTTGTGGTGGTGGTGATGGGCTGTTCCTCCTTGTTCTCCTTCTAAAAGGACACATATGGGAATCATTTGTTTTTCAAACAAATCAGCAGCTGTGTTGTGTCAGGTTGTGTTACTCAGTCTGACCCAAAACAGTATAAAGTGCCTGAGACTGAGAAAGGGGCTTAATAGACAGGAGTATGGATGTCATTTGGAAACTCTGAATTCGAGATAGACTACTGCATCAGCACTGCTTCCAATGGCGACTGATACAAAGGAAACAACAAAAGGACATATGCCAAAACAGGATGAGGAAAGGGATAAACAGGGGCCTTCAAAAAGATGATATACAGCTTTCACTTCCTTTGACAATCCATCACTCATGGGAAGGGGGCATCTCGTCTGGTCTTCCATGGCTCCAGCACAGCTGCTTTTAATTGATTCGGTTCCTCAACAAGCATTTCTACTTAACCTTCTGCTCCTCAAGCAAGAATTCCATCCTCACTGCTATAAGACCTTCTTTCTAATACTCCAGGATATTTCAAGGGCCTTTGCTTTCTTCCCCCAACTATCCACACCCTTTTATGGTTCTGCAATGCTGCTGCTATATCGTGTATGGAGGCAAGAAAGAAGAAAACTGGAATAATCTACAGACCCATCCTATATCCTAGGAAAAAAATATTAACATAACCCATTTGAAATATTTTGCAATACCAAATGCAACGCTGTAATTTGTGGCTCATCCTTCTCCCCTCAAGAGCCAAAGGAATGCTATTGCAAAGACAACTGTTAATAAGGATGGATGAATCTGTCACTTTTCATTTCACTCAGTTTCATATTTTCCCATTTTTAGGTTTTCTGGTATCGGGGAATTTTCACACAAAAAATTGTGTGCAGTTGTTGTGAAACATGTTTTTTGATATGTAAATTTCTTGCACATGCCCTTTCTAAACAATTTTCTGCAATACAATGTATTTGTGTGCATAATTGTTCCTTCTATGTCATTCTCTTTAATACATGCATTTTTATGCAATTTTTAAAAATTTAACAACCAACTCTCAAAATTCTGAAATGCGCAACTCCATCTGAGAATGAGTTTAGTCTTTAAAAGGAGTGAATGAGGCAAGGTCACAAAAAATTGGAATTGAATGCATTTCTTCTCAATCTCTGATTGCCAACTTTGCAGGGAAAGAGTAGTATCTGATTATGACCAATAATCTTTTATGGCAACATGTAAAACTATATTGTCTTCATTCCTTTCCAGATTCAATGAATTGACCTTTATGGGATTTAATCAGCCTATTTTCTCCACAGTTGTAGTCTTTGTAAATCAGGCAATTCTCTAAGTACAGTATGTTTGACTATGAGCAGATAACTATGCCCACCATCACATATCATATATAATGCCTCAGACATTTATGCTTATCTCTATCTGTATACATCATATTCCCAATTTAAATAATAATTTTCAGATTAAAGAAAGGTAGAAGTTGA